ACACACACACACACACACACACACACACACACACACCCCTTTCTAAGTTTTTCTTTTATCAATCAGTAGATTCTTGAGATCCTGGGTCCCTAAAAGAGTACAGGATTTTTCTTAACAAGGGGTACTGAATCAAGAATATGAAGTTTCCTGGGATCCAGATCAAAGGAATTTAAACTTGCAGTTGTTTAGATTCATGTTGTCACTTAGGTTTCTGCCTTTATTTAAAACTGTGTGAAAAAAAAGTTTTTCTAAGGCATGAGGAAGCTACAATTATGTTCACACTAAGTATTCAAAAGCCATCAGTCGCCTAAGAATGCTTCTAACAAGCATGAGAAATGCTATTTTAACCTTTAACAACAATGAAGAAAAAAATTCAGAGTTTGAAATAAAACTTTTCAACCGATTAATAGTTTGTAATTCTTACTTACCATTTGGGCCACATGATGTCGCTCTTTACCGCAAATTCTTTCATAATCAACAAAAGGAAGTCATTCCTGTTCGCACTGGAAAGACGCTCCACTCTCTTTCACTCTTCAGATGCACAACAATGGCCACACATCGAGATTGAAATGAAGGGATAAAAACATTCCTATAAATTCGGAGGCAGGTTTTGCTGACTAGAAAAATAAAACGCCAATAATCTGAAATGGTGTGCCGGAGTGGATACGACCCAGGGCGCCGACATCTACTGCTGTTTATTACAATTCTAGCTGCTTGGGAGGCGGGGAGAGGCCAGCTCCACTACTCGGTCCCCGAGGAGGCTAAACACGGCACCTTCGTGGGCCGCATCGCGCAGGACCTGGGGCTGGAGCTGGCGGAGCTGGTGCCGCGCCTGTTCCGGGCGGTGTGCAAATTCCGTGGGGACCTTCTGGAGGTAAATCTGCAGAATGGCATTTTGTTTGTGAATTCTCGGATCGACCGCGAGGAGCTGTGTGGGCGGAGCGCAGAGTGCAGCATCCACCTGGAGGTGATAGTGGACAGGCCGCTGCAGGTTTTCCATGTGGACGTGGAGGTGAAGGACATTAACGACAACCCTCCCGTGTTCCCAGCGACACAAAAGAACCTGTTCATCGCGGAATCCAGGCCGCTTGACTCTCGGTTTCCACTAGAGGGCGCGTCCGATGCAGATATCGGGGAGAACGCCTTGCTCACTTACAGACTGAGCCCCAATGAGTATTTCTCCCTGGACGTGCCAACCAGCAACCAGCAGGTAAAACCTCTTGGGCTTGTATTACGGAAACCTTTGGACAGAGAAGAAACTCCGGAGCTTCATTTATTGCTCACGGCCACCGATGGGGGCAAACCTGAACTAACTGGCACCGTTCAGTTACTCATCACAGTACTGGACGTCAATGACAATGCCCCAGTGTTCGACAGAACCCTCTATACGGTGAAATTACCAGAAAACGCTTCTATCGGAACGCTGGTGATTCACCCCAATGCCTCAGATTTAGACGAAGGCTTGAATGGGGATATTATTTACTCCTTCTCCAGTGACGTTTCTCCAGATATAAAATCCAAGTTCCACATGGACCCCGTAAGTGGGGCAATCACAGTGATAGGACATATGGATTTTGAAGAAAGTAGAGCACACAAGATCCCAGTAGAGGCTGTCGATAAAGGCTTCCTACCACTGGCTGGTCATTGTACAGTTCTTGTGGAAGTTGTGGATGTAAATGACAATGCTCCACAGTTGACTCTCACTTCCCTGTCTCTCCCTATTTCAGAGGATGCCCAGCCAGGTACAGTCATCACTTTGATTAGCGTGTTTGACCGAGATTTTGGAGTCAATGGACAGGTTACCTGCTCCCTGACGCCCCACGTCCCCTTCAAGTTGGTGTCCACCTTCAAGAATTACTATTCATTGGTGCTGGACAGCGTCCTGGACCGCGAGAGCGTGTCGGCCTATGAGCTGGTGGTGACCGCGCGGGA